TCCTCTGTAAAATGCGTTGCTCACATCTGAATATTTGGGTTGAACTGTTCTGGAACAGTGTTGGAAATACAACTTAACCACTGATTTAATTATTTGTGTCCTCTTTTGGAAGGCCAAACAAAGTAGTTTCGCTTTCACAGCGAAACACACAGCGTCTCCAAGACATGGCGGCGGCGGTAACAATACTACAGCGAGAATCAAAGTTAAGGCTGATTTATACTTATGCGTCGGACCTACGCCGTAGTTTACGCATAGACGCACACCAATACGCCGTAGCCTGACATGCACCTCTCCAAAAATCTAACAGCGCGTTTTATGTGCACTTTAATATATTTTAATGTTACACCTTCTTATATAAAATAAAACAAAGCAAAGAACAAGTGTCTTATTTATTATACTACATAGCATTATACATCAAAAGTTGTCCGCAACAAACAATGTTGATTTGCCGTGGTACAAGTCCTTGGGCAGATTGAAAGAATGCCATCATCTCCTGTTCCGTTGCAGTCTCCTTTTTGTAATTTTAAATAATGATTTAATGATTTGATATTTATTTGCCGCCGTCACGGCTATAATGCTTCTCCGACGAGCCGCTTCTTCTTCGGCTTTTGCCGTGGTACTGCGGGTTACACCAGCAACATGCCCGTGGACACTGCTGACTAGCGGTTTGCATGTGTACTGCACGTTGACGCGGACAACGACGCAGAAGTATAAATGAAAACCGATGCATAGCCTACGGGGTAAAGGCTACAACGTAGGTCCGACGCAGCAGTATAAATCAGCCTTTATACTGTTTTTTTACGCGTTGCGTTGCATCGCGCCACGTGAACATAAAACCATGACCTACGCCGTAGCCTACGCATAGACGCACACCCTGGCCTACGCCGTATAGCCTGACGTGCACCTCTCCAAAAATCTAACAGCGCGTCAATTCTATGCAGACCGCAAGCGCTGTGATTGGTCTGCAAGAACCCCTCCCTATGTACTTGAGTTTTGTGTGTGTTTTTGTGCAGTTTAATATATTTTAATGTTACACCTTCTTATATAAAATAAAACAAAGCAAAGAACAAGTGTCTTATTTATTATACTACATAGCATTATACATCAAAAGTTGTCCGCAACAAACAATGTTGATCTGCCGTGGTACAAGTCCTTGTGCAGATTGAAAGAATTTTGAAAGAAACTTTTGTAGTTTTAAATAATGATTTAATGATTTGATATTTATTTGCCGCCGTCACGGCTATAATGCTTCTCCGACGAGCCGCTTCTTCTTCGGCTTTTGCCGTGGTACTGCGGGTTACACCAGCAACATGCCCGTGGACACTGCAGACTAGCGGTTTGCATGTGTACTGCACGT